TTCTACGTAAAGAGTGTGCTCGCGAACAAAGCATCTTAAGGCTGGTAAATCAAAACACTTGAGCAAAACAGTTGCCAGATAGCACCTCACATAACTCGAAAGCTATGCCCTGATAGAGTGGCTCCATCTAAGAATCGTTGTTATGCAAAAGACCACATACATTATTCAGCTCACAATTCTTTACGTAGAAATAATATATTTTAAGCTCTTCAACACAAAAAACTAGTCTTCACGCGAGAACTGATTATGATACACTAGTATTCATATAAAAGTGTAAAACTCATTTACCAAAAAAAAAAATATAAAAGAGCAGATGTCAGACTGTTCTGAAGCATTCTAATGTCCTTCCAGGAACATTATTGAAATCACCAACTTCGCCCCCAACAAATCATTCTAGGTTAAGAAAGCTACCACATAGATACACTTCCAAATATTAGGTACTAAACTGGCTTTAGACATCATTATGTACTTAGGTGCTAACTAGAACAATATAAATCACATATCCTAGAAAACAATCTAAAATGATTAAAACCAACTTTATATGGCACACAAAATTTACCTGAAGGGCTAGTATACGATCTTCAACGGTATCTCTCACAGTTAACCGCAAAACAGTCACAGGACGAGTTTGCCCAATTCGATGTGCTCTATCTATTGCTTGGTCTTCAGTTGTAGGATTCCACCATAAATCTAGCATAAGAACATGACAAGCTACCACCAAGTTTAGTCCAAGACTGGCAGCCTTCAAAGACATAATAATAACTGATACCTACAAGCCAAAAAGTCGAGCTTTATCATTCAATGTATCTCGCTGCCAATTTTATGGCATGGAAACCAAATATATAATCATGATATTAAGAGATTCGTAAATTTACAAACCTCGGGAAGAGTGTTAAAATCTTTTACAGCTTTATCTCTTGCAACAACTGACATTGTTCCATCAAGCCTTCTATACTTAATCGAAGAATTCTTAAGACACGCTTCAAGCAGATCAAGCATTCTCGTCCACTGAGAAAACACTATGGCTTTCTCCCCCCCTACAACAGTAACTAAATCATTAGAGCTTCTATTCTCAGAAAAACTTTGACTCTCGTGAGAATCTTTGAAGGATTTCCCATTGTTATTATTGGAGTGGTTCCCAGGACACTCATTATCTTCCCTCAAAGTATTATGCTCAGAAATACTTTTTGATGCACAGCTCTGCGGCTTACACAATGACTTCAAAACCTCAAGCGCGGCCTTTATTTTTGAAGAATCATATGGCTGTCTTTGAGACCAAGGCTCACATTCTTCTACTTCAGAACCAGAGCAACTGGGAGAAATATCACAGCCCTGGTCAGAAAGACAACTGTTAAGTGTGGCTTTTGAGAATACCCGAGATGTGCTCAGTCGACTATTGCAATTTGTAGCAGGGCACTGTTTGTCATCAATAGTAAGATGTTCACAGATGCATTGGTTACAGAAAACATGGCCACAAACTGAAACAACAGCATCTTCAGGAGGATCCTGTCCAGAAAACAAATGATAGGAAAGGTAGAGCAGAAGTGTCAGGGACAACATACTTTGCCAATAAATATAGTCAATAAGGACAAAACAGCGCTTATAATACTAGTCCTTTACCCTCAAGTAAGTAAGGAGAATAAAAATATTTCTCAATCATCCTTTCCAATTTTCTGCAAGGGAAACAGAGTAAACAAAACATTTTCCATCTCCATTCATTTTTTCTCCACTCTTAATTTTTCAGCTACTCTAACCCCATCCAAGCACAACGTATGACCCTAAGAACAATTATACAATTGCAACTAACCAATTTATGTTCAAGCAAACAAATAACCATGAACACACACATGCGGTCACACAAATCCAAATTTATAAACAGTAACACTAAAGGATGGTCAATACATACATTACAAATGCCACAAAGGGCCAAGGAAGCCTTTAAACATTTCAGAAGAAAGATTTGTTTTTCCTGGGGAAGCTCCTTCGCCATCTGAACAGAAGAACTCCATAAAGAGTTGGAATTGTAACGCTTGACAAGTAAAGGGTGATCACAAGCTTGTCTAAGGCGCAGAAGCATCAGCAAAATGTTGACATAATTTTGCTTGACAGTTCCAGCATCAGCATATTCCTGACATAACATGACATCATGCACATGTCAATAATGGACTTCAAATATGACTTACCAAGAAAATATACTTCCGTGAACAATACCGTTATCAAATGCTCCTACTTGATTTTGGTTGGACAAATAGGTACAATCACATTACAAAGAGAATATTATAGAAGTCACATAAGATTCCTTTCTAGAGACAGACCATACCTGAAACTGTGCACGCGAATCAGCCTCTAGTCTAGAATAGAAATCACGTTCCTCCATTGAGAAATCCACCTTTTTCAGTTCTATATATTTAGGCGGCAAGGAAATAATAGGCTCCCCATCAAGCAGTGTACCTACAAAAAATGATCATCACATAGTTACAAAAAAAAAATTTTAATTATTGGTAAAAACTCAAGTCTCACATCGTCTAGAGATAAGGCAAACAAAGAGTAAATAACTGCAAGACAACCCTCATCTTACAAACTAGTTTTATAAGGTTGAGTTAAATTTAAACCTACATTCTAATATGGCATTAAAACTATCTTAAATCTACTATAATGGGTTACTTACCATTCATACACATATCCCAATAATGTTGGGTGTGAGGGGATGCATTGGGAAAAACCCAACTCCCTGGCAATCCACTATTTTTCAGCGTGAAGAGGTATATTAAAAAAAATCCAAATTGCACATCATCTAAAAATAAGGCAAACATAAGATATATAAGTGGGAAGAGGGGGGCAACCCTTACCTTATAAACCCATTTTGTAGAGTTGAATTAGGCCTAACTCCACATTCTAAGACAAATTAATACAACTAATGATTGCTTAGCTGAATGAACCCACAAACAATGCAATAGCTTATAAGAAAGAAAAATGAAAAAAATCTATCAATCCAATGCCTAAAATTCTACCAAAGTAATAAAGCACGGAATACAATATTCAAGTGATAACCATAATAATTATAGCATACTAATTTGACGATGTGAAATTCATACAACCAAATCTAACCTTTGGTCCGGCGTAACATTATCGTCTTCAAGACAGCTTGTAGCTTTCTATACCCTTTTGCTGGATTTCTGCTAATTGGGGTCTTAATTGTAGAACAGAATGATGTATAGACAGAATAAGGGTCATATCTTAGAAATCTGAAGTAACTGTAAAGATCATCAATTGCATTCTGGATGGGAGTCCCTGACAGACACCATCTTCGCTTAGCACGAAGACCCCAACAGGCCCTTGCAACTTGAGTTTTGTGATTTTTTATACTCTGGGCCTCATCCAGGACAACCCTAAACCATGCCACCTGTGCAAGAGGCCCAGCAACAGCCTTAGGAGTTGTTCCTTCCGATCTCTTCTTGCCACTTTCACTAGAATTAGAAGGGCTTTTTCTTTTCCTACTTGGTACAGCATGATCTTCAGAAACTCCCTTTTCCTCATCATCTTTGTCAGCTAGAGGCTGCTTAGGGACCTCCATGCTGACAATGGAATAAGTTGTTAGGACAACATCATACTTAGCCACCTCATAAGGGTCTTTTGTCCGATTGCTTCCATGGTATACTAGCACAGAGAGATTTGCCTGACTAGTTACCTTACTACGCAACTCCTCAGCCCATTGACGCAGGACACTAGTGGGGCAAACAATAAGGGTCCCAGCAGATGGCCTTCCCTTTGCTTGCATCAACAAATTCATGCTCTTGATTGGAGATCTACTTGAGTTATCCTCACACATATTAGATTCTTCCTTTACTCTACCATTCTGAGGAAGCACATCATCCTCATCCAGATTCAGAGCTTCCAATTCACTTCTCTGGGCATTGGTGCACCCATCAAGTAATTGAGGTCTTTCCTTTAATATTAATGCAATAGTTGAAACTGTTTTTCCAAGTCCCTATGAGTGAATAGATTTTAACTCACTAAGGCATGAAAAAATCACATCTTATCAACTAGTCATAATCTCACATTAACACTGCAGACAACTAACCTGATCATCAGCAAGAATTCCTCCTGAGCAATATAAACTTGATGTTTCCTTTTGAACCATCCATGACAAAGCAATTCTCTGACCAGGACAACTACAATTAGTTGAAAAGTTGGGTATCCCAAATATAATGAGAAAGCAAGTTATCAGAACATCTCAGGAAAAATGGGGTTGAATTTACAAAGGATTCGGTCAGCAGTAAGAATTAGACACCTCAAGGGTACACCATAGTTCTGGTCCCATATAATCCAACCAGGCATAATTTCCAAACAATACACACACACACACACACACATATATATATATTTATATGATGATGGTGATGATTTTCTTTTCTCAACAATCTTACCCCTGAGAAAAATTGAATTTCTTTATGGCCAGAGGAAATAATTATTGAGACAATTTTCAAGGAATTGAATCAAAATACATGAAATGAACTTTAGGATAATGGCGCCTTTGAAATTTCACATTTTTAAACACAAGGAGAGTGTGCTCAAGTGCAAATGTGTGACAGCATAATTATTTGATATGATTCATTCCTTCATTGAATAAATCATACAAGTTTTCTATTTTTTATCTTAAACAAGACCCTGATCCAACTTTGTTTCAGTCTCGAAGCTGCTACACCAGAGACCTAAACCATATTATTAATTTTTTCATTCATCAAATAAATCATACCAGTTTTCTGGTTTTTTGTTTTTTCTCAATCAAGACCCATCCAACTTTGTTTTAGTTTGAAAGCTGCTACACTAGAGACCAAAACCATAGTATTTTGATAGGAAATACCAGATGAAAGAAATTAAAACATTGGACAAGTAACCTGATGTCTTAAAAGAGGAATTGCCAACAATCCTTCTGGTGGGCTAATTTCTGACTTTGGCTGAGATAGATCCTACAATGAACCACAAAAAGAGTTATGCACAATGGGAGAGGAATATTCCTACATCTGCCAACAGCTACCAAGGATAAAAACCATAAAATAAAGAAGCCAACCTGCAACGCAACTCGTAATATATTTCGCTCATCACATGCCTTTAGCCTTGTGCTTCCATCTATGTAAGACTGGGAATCAACATATCTAGAAGATTGATATATATTAAGGGATTTCCCAATGTCTGCAGATTGACTCATTGGAGCAGGATGACTGATATCTTCAATAATGCAAACATCAAGATCTTCTGCAACATTGAAATTCCCAGTTCTTCCTTTTGAAAGATGAGAATCAATAAGTTTTTGTTGAAAAGTTTGCCCCCCTCCTCTCTGAACACAACCAAACTGCTTCTCATTGGTCATTAGTGCTTGGGTATGCGGCCAAGATATATCTGCAGCTTTTAAATTCAAATTGTCCTTGTTTCCTTGAAAACTAGCCATTCCACCAGAGCTATCTTGATATTGATTGGATAACTCAGATGTTATAACTGCATAATTATCCTCATTCTTAAAACATTTGTAAGCCTGATACCTTACAGGAGAAAAAATACCAGGTTTTTGTTTCACCTCTTGGCCTATATTGAACTCAGCATCCTTGTTGTGAAAATTGTTTTGGTAATGATCTCCATATGTCATGTATGAATCACAATCAAACTGAGGCAATGATGACATGTCATCAAAAATACCATTACCAGAATGAAATGATGGATAACCACTATCAGCTAACATAATTTGACTATCTTGAAAGGACATCAACCCAGTAGGAATTGAGGGTACGCCATTACTCATACAAGCAACATCAGCATTTAATTCCACATTTTCAACCTTGATGTTATTCGTCATTTCTTCATCCTTTGGCCACAATTGAGAACAAATACCATTAGGCAAAAAACCAAGAGATGAGTCAGCAACAAAGGGTCCATCATCTGTTCCCTGGTAATAATTTGAAGATGCATGGTAGTCAATAAAATCACTGGAAACATGAGAACCTTGACCAATAGTAGAATCAGTTGAAGTTGAGACATGCAAAGCTCTATCAGCATCCACGAATGATGCTTCAAAAGATGTACAAGAGTCATTTTCCTGTTGCCCATAAACTCCTCTAATAATGTCTTCAACATGATCTTCAATATTCACATCATCATTGTCAACAATAGAACTGAGTGAAGCATCTGCAAGTAGAAAATAGAATCATATTTTTGCCAAGTTTCAGATATACAATGAAAAAATGAGTATACACAATGATAACCCAATGAAGATTTCACATACGTTCAGATTCAATATCCTCTCCCACTTGCTTGAAGTGGCTCTCATTTTCACCCTTCCACATACTCAGATTCAAATTATCTCCGCGAATTAATGTATTGTTTGACTGTGCCACAGGAAAACTTGTTTCCACATAACCAGGAATCTCATGTTCAGAAACTCCAGTCCTTTCTTTGTGGAAAATCTCATCACTTTCACCTGGAGAGAATGAGTCGCTCAAATTACCACGAAAAGCATTTGGGGAAGAGTTAGCCTGAGATTGAGGTCCCTGGCTTTCAGGTTCACAGTCAAGCATAGAATTTGCTGCAGAATCAGATAAACCAACTGAACCTCTGGCCACAGAATCTGACACATCCGAGCAGAATGGAGAACAGCTTGCGACTGAATCCACAAAGTCCAACCTAGACAAATGTGGTTCTTCCAACACTTGAGACCCTAACGAATAATAAGCAAAGGAATCAATCCAAAGCAAGACATTAATATCAGCAATTACATATTACATGGATGACTCAGCATTAACTCAAGAATCAAGATGTTTATTTCTCGCCATTGACAGACCAATTGCAATTAACAAGCATAAAAAGTAATATTACCGGAATAAACCACAAACTTAACATACCTTTTTCTATCTGAAAAGTGTCATGAATGCCTAATTCACTAGGTGAAACATTTTTTGAAGAAGAATCCTCATGACTATTCTGCTATGACAAGAAAATAAGAATAAGGATAATATCAAGAATACAAAGTCAGGGCAATTGAAAAAATGAGTAACATCAAAGCAGAAAATGACACTGAATGTAAAAGTGCTAAAAAGAGCAAACAGGATTGCATTTAAATAAATGGTCCTTTCAATTTTGTTTTCAAATAAACATAATCAACATTTATAAAGACAAAAAAAGACCCAATTATTTTTGTATGAATAACATAAAGTGACCAACGATACAGCTTTCCAAACTCCAAGCAGAACACCAAGCCCCTATCGGTATTAAAAAACACAATCCCACTAGTCAATATGAAAAAATATAAAATTGACAGCAGACCAAAACAATTGTAAAACCAAATATCCTTCATCCTTTCAGTAAGCAACTTAAAAAATGAAAGGTGTAAAAAGATTACAATATTTTTTCTTCCTAACAGCACAACAATGAAGAAATATATCCTGATATCCAAAATGGTGAGCATAACAGAATAGCTTATACATGACCCGAGTCTAGGATAAGTTACACATTTTCAGTAACAACAGTAATTAATTGGATTTGGTTTTCATATTTAAAGCATCAAAAATGATTTTTGGGATGGGGCGTAATCAGGACCCTTCACACTTTTAGTCGAATCTAGTGACACAATATTGACACCCACTAACATTTCCCATTGTCCAGTGAGCAATAGCATGACTTACAGAAGAATAGTAATTATATTAACAATGAACTTCAAAAACCAAACAAATAACTTGTGCTAACACTTTTACTGAAAAATCACTCCAAAGCTACCTACTATAGTAAACACTAAACACACTCCCTGCATGAATTGACCTTCTTTTTTTTTGTACAAAAAAAAATAGAAAAAAGGGAGGTTCTCTCATTTCTTCCAAGGTCAGACTCGACCACATGCTTCACTGAAATAGACGTCTGGATCCTATTTCTTCCATTTGAGTCCAACTACAAATTTACCCTTTTAATAACCTTGCGAACAATTTCTTAATTTGAGAATCTAGAGAATAAATAATTAAATACAATAACAAATTAGTAAATAATATTATTAGTGGGAAAAAAAATTAAAACAACTGGCCTTCAAGTTCTGTGCAGATTACAACTTCAACTCAAAAAATTAAATAAAAAAAAAAAATCTTTTAAAAAACAGAAGAAAAAAAAATAGCACTGCACAGAAGCTTCAATTCTTGTATTTGAAGCGGTTCAATTTCACAGTAACCTCACAGCGACAGCATTGAGAATTTCACTCTCTGTCCAGCAAGAAGAAACCCTACCTCCTGAGGGATACAATCATCGTCTTCATCGAGAACCGTGAGAACGGTCTGAATATCTATATAGAACATTCCATCATCGTCATCGTCACCACCAGCAGAGAACAGTTCCGAAAAGTCCACGTCACCCTCCGCCATGGTCAGCCACCGCCACAGAAGCCCTAACCGCGGTTTCTCAAGCTGCGAAGAAAGCCGGAAGCAAAAGCAGTCGATGCTGCAATCGCATCGCGGAGAATTCAAAGAGAGAGTGTGGAACGAAAGGAAAGTTGATGATGGTTTGGTTTCTGGGAAGGAAGGTTCGACTTTTCGTCCAAATTAAAAACCAAGAGTCAGAAAAGCCAGAAGCGAATCGAAGAGAGAGAAAGTGGTGGATCGTTTAAATACGATTTGGGTTCGTTACGGAAGGGTGCAGGCAAACGAGTCTTATCATTGGCTACTTGCTTACGATGTTTTTCATTTCCACACTGCTAGTTCACTATTGTTGACCCAGATTCCCTCATCACGCGATGCATGCGCGTTTTCTCTACCTTCATTTATTTATTCAGATAGTCTTGCGAAACGGTGCCGTTTAAGAAAGAAAAATAAAAAATGAAATTGATCACGGTGTGAATTGGTGTTTTACCTTACCTTACCCATTAGTCATAGGGAATAGGAAAGAAAAAAAAAAAAAGTAAAGTTGTGTTTGGGTTATTACTTGTTAGTTGGTTAATTTGGACAAGTTGGTGGAGATGGTCCTACCCTACCGTTTATTATGATTTTATATTGGGATAAATGTCATGCTTTATGTGATTTTTGTTGGCCTTGCGTGGCTGCTTCGTCGGATCGCACCTTTCTTTTCTCTGGTCTCGTCTTCTGTGCATATCCAAGGGACGTTACCAAACAAAATATGGATTAACGTTACGTGCTTTTTCAAAAGAAACAAAACAGCTTGCCAGTTCAAGTTTTTTTTCAAAAGTACACACCCCAATGGGAATTTTTTACGGAAATGGAATTTTTTTTTTTAAAATTACAAAAAATGCAACTGTTATACTTTATTTACACATTTAACATCATTCATTGTTTATACTCAGAATTTAGTTTTCGAGAAACCGAATTCTAAGCTTCAATATTTTATTTTTTTTTGTGATCAGAATTCGGTTTCCGGAAAACTGAATTTTGAGTAATTTTTAATTTTTTTTTTTTGCTTTTTTGGTTTGTGGTCGAGAGTGTGCAAATCTTGAAACTGGAATGGCCCGTTCTAAGCTTCGCTTATACACGTAAAATATTAATTTTAAAAATGGAACAGTCGCAAAACGGACCGTTCTCAAGTTTTTGGTAAATTTTTTTTCAAAAAATTCTACTTCTGTAAAAAAATCCCACCAATGGTGAGAGTTCAAAATGTTGCAATAATATCTATTCAAGACTATTACATTTTATCATTAAAAAAATATTAGAGTTTGGCTTAAACTCGGATTAAAATGTTACGATTATACCTGTTGAAGAGCATGAGATTTTATTATTAAAAAAATGGAATTTTTTAATAATTTTTCTTACTGATTTAGACCTCAGTTTTTTTTTAAAACAAAAGTTACCTTCAACAGAAAGAAAAACCATTACCTGTCATGTAAATCAATAATGAAAGTTTTAAATATGCGTTTCTTTTTTATTCTGAAAACGCGTATTTAAAATTTACTTTGATAAAAAAAATATTAAAAAAAGCATTTTAATATTTGACAAACAATTATTCTCAAAATGTCTATTATTTTTTGTCCGTTAAAAATAAAGATAACGGTAAATAAAATTATATTAAAAATACATTCATTAAAAAACATAATTTTTTAGATATTAATTTATTTTCATAATATATTATAATAATATACAATTATTTTTTACAGTATATACAATATATTTTAAAATTATTATGTATTTAAAAATTATCAACATCTAATTTTGTCTTTTTCTTTTTACTTTTCATAATAAATAGATAAATACCGATATTATATTTGAGCCATTTCAGCAAAGGTGGACAAAATATAAGCAATACAGATAAAAAAAATGTTTTTGGACCGATAGTCCGAATATCAATTGTTTAGAAAATTATATAGTCCAATCTTAGTTTATTTCATTTTCATGTGAAAAGCATAAGAGCTGTTCTCAAATAGGGACGGAAATACTATAGGAGAGATCAGATTTTTGGTAAATATATAAACCAAATTTGTTTTATAAAGTTAAATTTAAAATCTCACTATTATTTATTGTAATTTTATTTTTAGATTTGATCAAATCTTTTTAAAAGAAAGGTTTGACCTATTAAGTTATTTAAAAAATTACTTTATATAAACATATGTTAATAAATTTAATTTTAAATAATTTAATAAATTATTTTTTAAATATGTGTGTGGTTTTATTTAATTTATGTGGAGATAAATAATTTATATTATTAAAATTTAGAGTTTAAAATAAAAAATAAAATTAAAATTAATGCAAAGAAAGACAATTCATGCACCCCATGTACATTAACTTACACTCATTCTTAAGTATAATAAAAGAAAATAATTTTAGACAAAAAAAATTAAACATTCCTTATATCTCATTTAAAATATTGAAAATAAATATTCACGAAGATGAAGAAAAGGAATATGCAATTTCTAGATTTTTTTATTTTTTATTTATTGAGTTTGTATGAACAAATAATATAGAATGTTTAAGTATAGCGAAAATGTAAAAAATATTGATGATTTGATTTTTTTTATTACAAATTTATTTATTTAATTAGATTGTTACTAATGTAATATGCATTTTTTTTGCTTAAATATGTTATTAGTTCTATAAATTTAGGATAAATATGTGATATTTTCACTAACAAAGATATTAGTAGATAGATTTTATATGACAGATTATTTAGCAAAAGTTAAGTATAATGATTAAAATAAAAAAAGTTAAAATTAAAGAGACTACAAAAATCAATTTTAAATATGATGAACTATAAATAAAATTACCTTAAATTTAAGGGATTAAAAACGTGTTTAAACTTATTTTTTAATATATCATATAGATAAATAGATTGATTTATCAAGTCTAAATCTAACTTATTTATCAGATAAGTCAGGTTATGTCAAACTTTAAATATATCAAGTCACAAATTTGTTTAAGGTCTAGGTTAATACTATCTTACTCACAAGTCACAAGCTAAAATCATCCTAAATGTTTTCCCAATCCTTCCGCATGTCATGCCTCCTCTTTATATTTTTATTTGGTTTAAATATGTTTTCAATTTTTAATTTTTCATATTTAGGTTAAATTTGTTTTTAGTCCCTCAAACTTGAAATTGCATTTTTTTAGTCATATAATTTTCAAATATATTATTTTAATCCTTCAAGTCATCAATATCACCTTTAAAAGTGACAAATTAAGACAATTTTACAACATCAACTAAGTTTAATGCTATGTTTTCATTAACAGAGACACTGATAGGTAGATTTTGTACAACAATATTTGACAGATTTTCTATAAACAAAATTAAGTATATGGATCAAAATAAGAATTTTGAAATTATATGGACTAAAAAAATCAGTTTTAAATTTGATGGACTAAAAACATTAACATTAAATTTAAAAGACTAAAAATATATTTAAGTATTTTTACTTTTTTCACTTGCCACTTATAATAACTCATCGTGGTCCCTACACTCACGACACAATCATTAGCAACAGATAACAACTAATAACTTAAAATTATAAGTTTATTAGTATTTGGACATGTATCATATGTCATACATATGAATGTGAAAAAATAACTATTTAAACATATAGGATATAATTATAGTAATCCACTGAAAGTAAATTGTACAACCTAAGTTGTTGATCAAGCAACTCTTATACAAAATATTACACTACTGTAGTATCCAGAATATAAACAACATTGTCACTCCCTTGATAGTCACCTCAACTGCAACACCTACCTATCTCTACTTTACTCTCATACCACATGATCATTGCAATGTAAATCACATAAAAATACGTAAGGGTAAATTAAAGTTTAAAGAAAACAACATACAAACAACACAAAGCATCAACATCATTAATATATCAAGACATCTTTATTGTACCTTCAACACTATCAACATATGGCATCACAACACAACCAATACATATCAACATGAACAACTCAAGCTACCATAGCATAGTATTTACTTGAACCTCTCTACATCAAAAACTTAATTTTTTTCATCACAATAACACAACGTTTACTAGAGTTATCAAAGTGGGTTTTAGTCCGTGAGTAAATCCAGCCCACTATGAAATTCGGTTAAGTTGGGCCAAAAAAAAAAAAGCTCCTAATTGGTCAAAAATTTCAACTTGGAAAATAAAAAAGCTCCAAATTGGTCAAAAAATTGAACTTGGCCAATTTTTGACCTGGCTCATCTGGACTGAACCCGTGGTGGGTTGGGCTACTCACCTAATACACCTAACTACTTTAATGAAAAGAGTTTTCTGTTTTATATTTTGTTTTGGTTATTTAAATTTGTATATTTTTTAATTAAGTTTAATATTGTGTGCTTGATACTTAATTTGAATATTTTATTTTAGATTGGAGTTTATTTTAAATTAGAATTTATTTTAAATTATTTTTTATTTAAAATTAGATGGGTTGATAGGCTAGCCATTTAGCCCATCAACTCTTTGTGGGTTTGGTCGAGTTAGAAAATTTTCAACATTAAAGTTAGAAGGTTAGGCTGAGCCAACCTACTTAGAAAGTGGATTAAGGTTGGTCGAGCCAAATAGGTCAAGCTAGCCTATTTTGACAACCTAGCATTTACAAGACAACACTACATGCATCGTCACACATTTTAACTAGAAAATCTCTTACAACATAGGGTGAACAATTTAAGTGACTTTACCCTGCCAAATCAACAACACTACGTGATCCTTTTAGACTTTCTAGATCAACAACAAATTGGATATCAATCCACAGTATAACAACTTGGTTTCTCGAATGTCATTACCTAAACAAGGAAGTCTAGCATTACTATCATGGTAGAACAACTAGGTATATGCCTATCACAACATTAGCTAGCTTAACTAAGTCTCTTATGAAATTAGTCCACCGAATATCCTCCAAATACCATGCCCTTCCAATACTTAGTTAGGAATTAAGTTTCTGACTTCATACTTTACTCAATTGATCATTTATAATTAGTATAACTCGACCGTACCTTATACTATGGTCGCTTTATACATGTGTGATGTGAATCCAACAGAGTAAAGTTGAAGACTAACAAGCCTAAAGTCATATGATAAAGAAGAAGGATTAATGGGCTGGAATTTAAGTAGTTTGGGGCTTGTTGCGGGTTGCATCAATTGTCCCGTGGCGGAGGCTAGGTGGGCCAAGTCACTGTCGAATCATGGCGCTTAGGCTGCTATGCTCTTAAGTAGAAAGAGTTGCACCCTGACTATGGCTGTGATCTCTCCCTCCTGTTTGGTGATCTTGTGGTCTCACAAATTTTCTGAGATGGCCT